CTAAAACTTCTAGCTCAATGCATTTTCACCTTCACCTCGTCATGATAAACTAAAAATACATACCTTTGGGCTCTAGGTTCTAATTTTGTATTTAATTTTAAAAAGCCCATATCTGGCAACTGCCTGATTCTCCCCTCTTCAACCAGCTACCAAATCTCCAACACTACTCGTGTCGCACAAATTTGTGGCAGTATAAATTAATTTTGCAAACAAAAATTATTGTTGAAGGTACCATGGTTTGTGATGGTGATTGTTGTTGGGTTTTATAGTGGTAACAAATTGATGATTTTTGCTTTGGTTTTGGGTTTAAGGTTAAGGGTGAAGGTTGGTTGACGGAAATGGGGAAGAAAAAGATGATGATATTTTTTTATTAATTTATTTGGGATTCATTTGTGCTTTTTTTAAAAAAAAATTGGGAACATGGTTGCTATTAGTTCTTTATTTTTCTTTTGATTCTTTTTTTGTTTTATTTAAATAGAATGGTATATTTGTCATTTCACAGTTTTTTATTTAGAAATTGGATGAAAATGATGACTCCACAATGTAAGGTGTAAATAGGGGTGAAAAATACAAAAAAATAAAATAAAAAATACAATGTTAGGACGCTTTCCACAATGAACTTCGTACATAGGAACATTTTGTAATAATGACCCTTTAAAATATTGCAACATTCACTTGGTGCTTTGGAAATCATAAAGTTATTGCTGGTGTTTCTTAATATGTGTTACACCAAATTTTTTATATGTAATTTTTTTTTTTGTGTAATTTTTTTTTTTTTTTTTACATATTAGCCCAACTGGAAATATTTTTTTCATGTCGATAGGGATGAACGATATTCGGTTTGGGCAGTTTGTACCATATTTTCAATTCAAACCATTTAATGCAATTTGAAAATGTTCCAAACCAAACCAAACCAAACAATTATTTACGATTTGAATCAGTTTTAATCCGCGGTTTACCCATCGACATTATATTAATATATTTAAAACAAATTAACATATAAGTTTAAAATAGAACTAATAATGTTAAATATTAAATTACATTCATATTTTTCTAAAATTTGAAATAGATATAAAAAAAACTAAAAATTGTAGCCAGTTAGCATCTAGCAACATGTAACTTCCTTCACTCAAACTTTTACACTTAACAATATAGAAGCAGCACTCTTTCAAGCTTTAGCCTTCATAAAAATTGCGTTCTAACATCCCATTTGATAATAATTAGATCAATATCTCATGTTGTAACACATGATTTGGCCACTATGTAATATGCAAATATCAAAATATTCAGGAGTTCGTATTAATGATATTGACAAGCAATTAAAAATAATACGCATAAAAATATCAAAATTGATAAGAGAAATTAAATGTCACATTCTACAATTTTCTCCGAGTCATCAAATGCCTCTACCTCATGCAAATATTGAGGAAAGACTATAGGTTGTTGCTA